AGTAATTCTTTCATTATAGTTATCATTTCCTTTTTTGTACTTCAGAGAGTATTTCTGATCTGATTTCCCCTATACCTTCCTGCCGTTGTTTGTTTACTTCAGATAATGTTATTTCACAGATTTCAGGTGTGTGTTTTCCAATTTCTTCTCTGCTGGTGTCTCTTGCATTTGTTTTGTTTGGGTTCAGGGTCTGCGACTGGGTTTTGTTTTTCCTCTTTGACATTTTATATAGCACTGTCCTTTTTTTTTTGTGGAACTGGGGATTGAACTCAGGCCCTTGTGCTTGCCAGGGAAGCACTTATTCCACTGAGCCATCTCCCCAGCCCCAAAACCACCAATTTTTTTCCCTATCTGCCACAACAATCAATCCTTGGCGAATTATGGATCAGAAGCAAATAAATATAGGTATTCAAAGTCCAAAGACGACTCTGGTCTATGGGAACTCAGTTTGAACAACATAGTGTCAAAGATTAAATTATCAAATTCTTTCTGTCCTAGAGACACTGAACTTTCTTGCAATTAGGGCTCTGCATGTGATTAGGCTCTAGATTCACTGGTATAAGCCTTTTATTTGAAAGTAATTTAAGAAGTGCCAAGCAGGGACACGAAATCCACTTTCTGCCTAGTGTGCCTCACTGTAAAGGCAGACAGTAGCTAGCTAACAGCTACGGCTGCAGTTTCCAGAGGGTGCTTGTCAGATCATGGCAGAGCACCAGCGGTCTCAGTAGTCTAGCTCTACAATGTGGCTGAGGCAGTCTTAGGAAGCTAGCAAGAATGTGTTGTTCTAGATCACTTTGTAATTCAGTTATTCAGTATTGTATAATATAATCCTTCAAGTTGGATGGAATGTTACATTCCCTACTTCCTGACAGACTCAACAACTAAACCAAAAAATGATTATTTAGCTACAGCATCGCAGTAAGTCATTTAGACAAACATCTAAAATGCTACAACTTACAAAATTGAATTATTATTTCAGAAAAACATGAGCTAACCTTTTAAAAAGAGTCATGAAAAGGAACTTACCTTGGTAAGAAATTACCTGTACACTAAGTTGTACAGTTCCATCTGTCTTTACTCCTTGGTCAAATAAACTTCTTTCTGGATCCAGCTACACATGGGCAAAATACAACATAATTTTATCTCAATCATTAGGTGAAGGCTTCTGCTTCTGATTTAATATAAGTGGATGTACCATATAAGACTCAATTTCTGTGCATAAATTATGAGAAAATATTTCATTGCCATGTCCATTAATTATTTGCCAAAAATGAAATCATTTTAACTACTTCTGTTAGTAATTTGAAGAGCATAAACAACCAAATTGATTTTAAATGGCAGTTCTAACGCTGGAGTCTGGGTTAGAAACTTCACACCAAGAGACAATTATTCATTTTGTAACTGTATTTTAAAAAGATATCACCTGTCATGAATAATAAGCAAGGTGTTTATGGTGACAATTTATCTAAATTTATTAACATGTCCAGGTCATTTCTTCCTTATAACCAAAGCCATATACTGAAGATCAGGGTTCACTCTGTTGCTGATCACAATGTTAATAATATTAAAGTGCTTATGATTTTATTGCTCATCGGCTATGAATATCATTAATCATAATTCTACACTCTTTGAACATTAGGGCTCTTTTTCCTTCAAATCCTCATACTATGAATGCATTTCACACAATGACAAATGATGAAAAAAACCCCTCTGACTTGCAGATATTTTCTGTCACCAGCTTCAAAACAAACTCTCATTGTAATTATTTTGAATAGCGTATATTGGTGTGTACTGTAAATCATACTGTTGAGGCACAAACCTCCCATTCTCCAGAATTCAGTTGTTATTGGCCATGCTACAAACATGTTTTCTAATGTTTAAAATGTCATATACAGAGTCTGCCAAAAAGAATGTATACACAGCAGTTCACTGAACTATGTAGGTCTAGAAGCTAATGCCCACCATTTTGAGCACCTCTTATCTGTAGAGGCCAAAGGCAACTTGTATTAGTCTCTTAATGTTTCAATGAATTTAGTATTAAAATATTATGCAAGTCTTTCTTTTCCTGATGTATACATTGTTTTGACAGACTCTATATAAAATGTATAATCTTAAGTCACTACACACCTAACTTAAGGTGGACAGGAAAACCTCTTGAACCTGTTTAAGAGAAGTCAAATTCGACAGTGCTACTCTTTAACGTAGCAGTCTTTGCCTAAAATTTTGTTAAAAATTGTTACATTTCTTCTCTTCATCTAACAGATGTAAGTATTAATCCACTAGAAACTATGGCATCTGTAATTCTGAAACCAAGGTCTGAGCTACTACATACTATTCACTAATACATGGAAAAAGACAAAATCCAGCCCTGGTATTTAATCCTTGGACACAGTTTTTAAAGAATACCAACTCAATGATCGCTACATCAGCTTTAAAGTCAGTACTGACCTAAAAATACAAAAGGTATTATCAGAAACAGCAAGCTTTTTGACTTCAAATGTGTGTTTGTACAGACATGAGAAACAGAGAGGGAAAGAAAGACAGGGAAGAATTCATAATGCCCTCAGATTCAAGGACAGCTCTGAATTCTCCTACGAGTCCTACATACTTCCATTTATTCAACTAATAAACTGTGGCAGGTTGGGTTCTTTGCAGGTTATATATTCATTACAGATAGATCAGTTATTAATTACCAAAAAAACCCAAACTAAAACAAAACAACTGAAAGACAACTAAGATGTTAAGTCCAGATTCTCCATTGTACATTGAGAAAAATCAGAAGTTCAGTGGCACTGAGTTATTCACTGCACATTTCTTTTCTTTCTTTCTTTCTTTTTTTCTGACAGCAGAATATATTTACTGGGGGAAAGTTCCTGTCTGAGAGGAACAGGAGGGGGTCCCTGAAAGGGTGGTCCTTCCACATTTCTTTTTGTCTTTCTGTTCTTGTTCCAAGCCATTTGTACTTTTATTTTGACAAAGGGTCTTTCTAAATTGCCCTGGCTTGTCTGAAACTTATGATCCTTCTGCCTCAGCTTCCTAAATAGCTGGGATTATGGATGTAAACCATTATCTAGCATAAATCTTTAAAATGCTGGTCTCAAGTAAGTAAAGCAAGAGTGCAGTCACACTGGCCTGGCCTGAGTTCACATTCTATCATACCCAAGTATAGCTGAAAACTGGGTAAATTCACCTCTTTAAATCTCAGTTTCTCCTGAGATAGCAAAATGTCATTAAATGATATTGATTCTAAAGACTAGTACAAAGATTAGACATAATAATTGAGAAGAGCTTTGCAAGTGCCTACTCTCTCCAGTGGTGTGATTAAAGGTATGCACCAACATAGCTGGCCAGCTCACCAATGTTCAATGGCAATCTTCATTCTGACCTATGTAGAATTTATTTATTGAATCTCCAGATTTTAGAACATTCTGAGTTGCTTCTAGTTCTGGTAAAACCATGAATAGATGGCACCATACATACACCTCTGCCTACCCAGGTGAGCATTTCTCCAAGAACAATTGATACTAACATTAGTTGATACTACATACCAGGTTGCCTTCCAAAAAGTGTTAATCTCACTGTTAGGGAAAAAATACTCCAAGCACTTAAATTTTAACTTAGCTAGACTCAACTATATTCCCTGGTTTTTAAGAGAAATATCCTCCCATAGCCACCATTTATGATACATAAATCAAAGATTTCATTAAAACATTTTAGTTCGCTGCACAACAGAATCTTTAAAAAGGCATCATATGATCTGTGTTTTAAAAAAAGCCAAAAGTTGTGTAATACATAGAATAACTACTACGAGGGCTAAAATACATACTCATATGTTAGCATTAAGAACATAAAATTCTAGGGTCAGCCAAACAGCTCAACGGATTAAAGTGCCTGCAAGCAGGCACAGGGACCTGGGGTTTGATTCTCAGGCCTTGGTGCCGGCCCTACCCCTGGGGCACACTGAAAGGGTAATTGAAACTGGGCACGGTGGTGTGCGCCTATAATACCAGCTCTTGGGAGGCTATACACAGGCAGATCACTATGAGGCCGATGTAGCAGTGAGACCCTGAACACCCTGAAGACCCTTCCCTAAAATACAGGAAAAAACAAAAACAAAAACACAAAACCCCAAAAACAAAAACCACATAATATTTTAATACTTGTATGTTTAATGAATATCAGAGAAAACTATATGAGCAACTCTATTAGGCTATTTTTTTTTGTTTTTCAATTTTATTTTTTGGTGGTACTGGAGATCAAACTCAGGAACTTGCATTTGTCAGGCAAGCACTTATTCCACTGAGCTATTTCCCTGGCCCCCTAGGCTACTACTTCTAATACATGAAAATAAGTAGAAGAGTTTCATTAAACATACTTTAAATATATTATTTTAACATTTCAGTGGGTAAAATCCTACTGAAATAAATGCCAAGAAGATCAGTTGATATATACATTCTTAAACAGAAAGGAAAATGAAAATCATTTAGTCAAGTGTTTATTACGTTTATTTATTCATTCACTATTCATGTTCACTACATTTTAAGGGTAAATGACACAGAAATAAGATAAACCAGTTAGAATATACTTGCTCACTCTCCAATGTCAATGTGCTTCCCATTACTCTACACTGTACATTTAAGCTTTAAAATTTTTTTTTATAAGTGCAAGTAAAAAGCAAACATCTTAGTAATACACACACACACACACACACACACACACACACACATTTTGTTTGTTGGAGATAGGTTCTCACTGTGTAGCCCAAGCTGACGTTGAATTTCACAAATCACCTACGCTCACCTCAAAATTCATGGTGATCCTTCTGCCTTAGCCTCTTGAATTTTGAGATGACAGGTTTGTATCACCATGCCTGGCTCAATCTTTTAAATATATTTTTTTTCATTTTTACTTTTAGTATTTAGTACAGGGTCTACAGGGTCTCACTACACAGATCAGATGCGTGATTCTCCTGTTCTCAGCCTCCCAAGCACTGGGATTATAGGCGTGTACCACCTCAGGGGGCCGGGCCAGCATGGCATGCTAGGGATCAAACCCCTGTAGCTGTGCTCTGCCTAAGTAGGCACTTTAGTTTGCTTAGCTATCTGGCCGACCCCTTAAATGTAATTGTAAATAGAAAAAAATTGCTGAAAGATTTTATTAAAGCATATTAAAGCTTAAATTTTATCATGAAACGGGGCAAATTCATTTACAGACAAAACTCATAGCTACACAGTTAAAAGACTAACAAAAAATTACAGACTGAAATGCTGAAATATAAATCTGAAAAAAATTACCTGGATATCTTGCAGGCAAATTTCATGAGCATCCAAAGAACACTGTAGTCTTGGTTCCAGCAGTTTTTTCAAATTGCCAATTGGTTCATTGATGTCTATGGCCTGGCTTACACATTCAGCTGGGGTGTAGGTTTGTTCTACAATGCTAAATGTTAAAGGATATAAAGGTTAATAATTAAATTATTTCCATGGATATAAAAGAATATTCTCAAAATAAGTTCAATACCAAAGTACGTTTATGGTTTTTGAAAACACATTTCTTCTTAGATACTATGGTAGGTTCAATACTAACCTGCATAGCCAAATTGAACACTAAATTTCACAACTTGAAATTTAAAGCATCACTGAAAATGTATCTCCTCATAGCACTCAAATTTTAACTTGGCTCGACTCAATTATATTGCCTAGTTTTTAAAAAACAATATCCATCACTACCAATTATGATACATGAAAAGATAGATTTCATTAAAATATTTCAATTTATTGCACAACAAAACCTGTAAAAAGCAACATATGTATGTTAAGGATATGTGTATGTATACATATATACTGCTTGTACAACATATAAGAGAAAATTTACTTTTACATTATATTTTCAAGAACACTTACATACATCCCTACTTGTTTCCCTTCCCAACAGACGTATAATAAGCATAAAATACAATATGAAAGTATTCCTTTCATTTAATCTTAGCACTACTAGTTATAATTACCATAGCTCCACATTTTAAAAAAGTATATTGTTCCCTTTTTAAAACATTCTTTTAACATATTTAGTACAGGATCTACAGGGTCCTACTGCATAGATCAGACTCAGTGATCCTGTTTTCAGCCTCCTAAGTGCTGGGATTACAGGCATGTGTCACCATGCCCAGTCTCAATGACCATCTCAGAGTGCTCCAGGGATGGGGCCCCGGCCCCTGTGCTCTGCCTAAGCAGACACTTTAGTCCGCTGAGCTATCTGGCCGACCTTAAAACTTTCCTACGAGTTCCTTAGTGTTACTCTTAATTCAAAAGGATTAAAATACCTGATAAGTAATTCTACATATTTCTTATCAATGGTTATATGGGCTTGAACAGAAGGCAGGAAATGCTGGGTATGGTGGTACATGCCTGTAATCACAGCTACCTGTGAGGCTGAAATAAGAGGATCAAGATCAGGCTGGTCAAAACCTAAGTGAGACCCTACCTCCTAACAAAAATAAATGATTAGGGGATGGAGCTCGGTTGTCAAGTTCCCCAGTTCAACCCCCCGAACAACAACAGCAAGTAATTGCTGAGTTGATGAATGTGAAATTCAATTGTTTCACAACATGAGCAATTTAAATCTCATTTGCAATTGCCAAAACTGTCCATATTGAAAAAATTGTCAACTTTCATTCACATAAATTCTAACAACAATCAGGTATAGCCATGATACTTAATGAATGTATATAGCTCAATCTTTTCCTAAAACATTAAAAATTTATAAAACAGATTACTCATTACCAAAAAATAACAAACATCTGAAAATAACCGCACACTATTTTTGTTAAGATGAAAAAAATACTGGTAAGCATTTCTGCCAAAATCTTCAGGTGTATCACAGGAGGCTACCATTTTCTTTTGTTGTAACAGTGATTTTTGAAAATTCTGATGCTGTTTTAAGACAAGTTTTTGGAAGTCCTATTTCATATATGTTGAATATTAAAAATCCTTCAAAATTTTGTTATGATTACCAGGTTCTCTTAAAAAAAAAAAAAATGGCAGTTTCAAAACACTGGCCCTTAGTTCCTGGCAAGTTAACAAATTTGCTATAGCTGAAAAGCAACTAGAGATTCTTTAGTAAGGTCATCATGGTAACAACTGGTTTTCTACCTAGACATATGTAAAGGGCTAAAAAAGTAAATACTGTAGGCTTTACAGAGCAATTGGAGGTATGTATATTAAAATAAAATCATGGGAGGCTCCAAGAGAGCTCCCAGTGGTTTTCACTTCCTAATATACATACCCTTTTCAAGTTGTCTCCCACACTGTAGTTGGCATATGTGGTCAAAAAACTAAGGCAAGTGTGTTACATGACTTTAGTTATTCACCTAAAAAGATATTGTGGCTTCCATCTTGGTAACCTCTTTCAGACTGGGGGAAGACAGTTATCATGCCATGAGCAGCCCTACAGCAGTCCTAGAGAGGCCAACCCCACATGGCACTGAGGAATCCTTCCAAGAGGCTCATGAGTGAGTGTAGAACTAGAGACTCTAGTTCCAATCAAGTTTTTAGATGACTGTATCCCTGAATGACAACCTAACTACAAATTCCTGCAATACCACCCAACTAAGCTGTTTCAAGGTTCCTGACCCTCTTAAGAACAATGTTCAGCATTAAATACTGAGGGGTGAGGGTGGGTGGAGATGTAGATCAAAGGTAAGAGCACTTGTCTAGCATGCTTGAAGCCGAGTTTGATGCCCAGCACTGCAAAAGCAAATAAAACTAACCCACTAAGTTTTGGCATAGTTTATTATACATATATGCTTAAGTGGAATTCAAAAGAACCAGTGTTGTTTTCTGCTAGAAAAAAACATAATCAGTCATCCTGAAGCTCTATTAGACATAAAGTTTAAATTTTCGCTGTACCCTTAATTCAGTACTAGATTATTCTTAATAATATCCTGTCCTCTCTACAGACGCCCTCTACTGCTCTGCAGTCCCTTTTACTTTAATACCAACCTTTCTTCTGTGCACTCTGGTTTCTCAGTCCCATCAATCTCAATTTCTATCAACTCTTCTGCTTCTCTTTTAGTCATGGTTGAAATATTTCAAGGGCTCAGTCCTGAAAGAGTTAAAATTTCAGTTTTTAAATTATCTGCATAAACTAAAATGATGCACAAGATACACAGACAAAATTTGCTTTTTTGGTGGCAGTGTCCTGGCAATGGAACTTAGGACCTCATGCTTGCCAGGCAGCTGCTGTGCTGCTGAGCTATATATGCCTGGCAAAAACCTCAAATAAAAGCAGAAGGAAAATATTCATCACATATAGAATCTACAATGATGTTCATAAGCTAGTTTTTGTTTAAACTGGTGTTTATTAGCAGTAATCAATTTTTTTCTTTTCAAAATTTTATTGATAAACAGCAATGAGACAGTTTCAAATCAAATCGGAAGTACAGTTTCAACAAATAACATACTGCAAAAAAACAACAACAACAACAACAAAAAACCAAATAACATACTACATATATTCTTCTTAGTGGTTAATTGCTGTACAAGATGCGGGCTTGAGAGCAGTAATCAATCTTAAGTCAAAAAAGTAATTGAAGAAGGTACTTCAAAAACCAAGTGAGAGGAGCCAAGGAGATGGCTCAGTAGAATAAGTGCTTGCCTGACAAGCGCAAGGGCCTGAGGTGAATACCCGGTTCTGAAAACAAAAACCACCAAGTGAGGGGCTGGGGAGATGGCTCAGTGGAATAAGTGCTTCTCTGGTGAGCGCAAGGGCCTGAGTTCAATCCCCGGTTCCGCAAAAAAAAAAAAAAAAAAAGTGAAGGTTATGTTAACTACATTAAAGCAACTCGATTCAAACCTGAGGGTTAACATGGAGATGAACAACTGATGAGCTGAAAGTTCCACCTTACTAGCAGTATTTACTATGAAGTATGATACTAAGTGATATAAATTAACCTAATCACATTTAGAATTATAAATTCAAATATATTCCAAAACAGTAAAATATACATACTACTGCCCCAATTACAGTTTTTCAAAGATTTTTCTACAGATTTAGTTGTATTTTTAAACCAAATATTTACGCTTATTATCTCATGTAAATTACTGCTGTAAAAGACCAAGACAAAAATACAATTTTTAGTATGTCAAGACACAAAACAGCTAAAAATACTGATATTCTATTTACAATACTATGAGGTGTTAATGCTGCAAGTTCCAGGCTGTTACTAACCACCTCACTGAAGGTGAATGCACATCTTTGGATTTATATTATATTAATAACCAGCACCTTCAGATTAGAGCTTCTGAAGTTTACTCCCATATCTGAAACAGATATATTTCCCTAAACTGGTGCCCTAACATTTGCTGAGTAGTCTGTATTCCTTAAAAGATGAAATACTCATTCCTGTATTCCTTCACAGTAACCACTAGTTACTCAGTGCCAGGTAGTACCTTCAAATGTTTTATATAGAAAAAGCCTTAAGAGGTCCTCTCATATGAACACTATCCAGAGATTAGCAAGATCAAATGGCCCATTACTCTATATTGTCACTTCAGATGTATGATACCTAGGCATTTAGCTAAGTGTGAAGTACCTGGACTCAATTTCCATTTCCTCAAAAAGAGCAGGGTAGCAGTGGCATATGCCTGCCTACCACTTTAGGAAGGTGAGGCTGAAGGATTGCCAAATTCACACCTAGCTAAGGCAACTTTGTGAGACCCTGTCTTAAAAAAGGAAAGATTAAGAATACAGTACAGTATCAAAACTCTGGGTCCAATTCTTACTACTACAAAGAAAAACAATAGAAAAAGAAGATATATCTCCCTAAATACACAAGTGGAGTCAAATATGATTTGTACAGAGACAGGCTCTGTGTTGCATGTATAAAAATCATCTCTTTCCTGGACTAGTAGTTTCTTAACAAACTTCAGTGTCTGCCTACCCCCCCACATCTATATTGTCAGTACAACAGCCAGTGTGATTCTTTTTAAAGGCACTTAGATCACAGCACTTCCCTGACAGATTCCAGTCACAGTAAAATCCAAAGATTTCCCAGGGGTCTGCAAGGTGCTGCATGAATTCCCCATCTGTATCCCACTATTGCTGACTCCCTTTCCCACATTAGCTTCTTTGCATCTTCCTGCCCAAGGTTTTTTGTTTCTGCCTGAATCTCAGCTTTTCAATGGAACTAATACCATGAGCATCATCATTTGATTGTTGTCTCCTCTTGACTTTTTTCCACAGCACTTAACCTTTAATATACTGTGTAATTTTAGGTAGGACTAGGCCTCAGTGCCTAAAGCAAACAAACCACCTCAGTCCAGAGATAAACATCCTGTCTGGTTAAGGTCAGTTATTAGTCACTAAGCAACTTGTGTTGCACGTTACTAACTTTGCAAAAGTATAAATTAAGGACCGTTTTGTTGTGAAATATATACTATGCAATTATTATATTATCTTTCTTCCTCTGCTGTGTCTCTGTTTAAGTGAAAGACTAAAAATTGCCTAAAAGTGATGAGACAGATTTGTCTGGACTGGGACATTCCCCTACTGTCTTGCAGTTGGAGGGGCTTTACTAAGTCTTACCTTCTCAAGAGATTGAGGACTGTGGTAGAATAACAATCCAGAACCAGTCATTCTGCTAAATTACATGGCAAACGGGATTAAAGTGGTAGAGGGAAGTTAAATGATTAATCAGCTTCATTTTAAAATAGAGATTACCTGTGTGTGATGGTTCATGCCTGTGAACTCAGCAGTAGCAACTGAGGCAGGAGGCTATGAGTTCAAAGTCAGCCCTAGGTATATAATAGTGAGACCCTGACTCAAAAAACCTAAACCTCATCAAATGAAACCAAAGACATACACAGAGATTATACTAGATTAGCCTGATATACCAATGGAATCACAGGGTCCTTAAAAGTAGGAGAGAGAAATGGAAAAGAAAGCTGGAGAGACTCAAATGTGTGAAAGGACTCAATTGCTCAGCTACTAGTTGAGGATGTAGAAAAGTACCAGTGGGGTTCTGGAGAATCTAGGAGAAACGCAGTCTGAAAATACCTAACTCAAGCCTACTTAAGATTTACAAATTTCAGAATAGTAAAACATAAACTTAGTGGTACTTACTGAATTTGCTATAATTTTTTATAATACCAGTGGAAAACTAAGACAAGTCTTTTCCAGTTTAGAAAAGGCTGTACCTCTCCTAAGGTTTCATTATCTTCAACTACTAGACAGGTTTTCTGACAACTCTGTAAACAGCTGGCACCTGAATCTATGACCCGACTTCCCCTCCCACATCACTAAAGTTGCACTTAAAGGAGAAAGTACTTTGCATAGATCTGAACAAATATCCTTGCTTTTATTACATTTGGAGTTTATATTCCACACGATAGGTCTGCTGATCACCACCTGTTTTGCTTTAAATGAATCCCACCATTTTACACATAGCACCAGTTAAGAGGCAGACTTGATTGGGAAAGGAAGGAGGCAGAGCTTACCACTGGAGAACCCAGGTATGACACATGTCCAGCACATAAATAGGCTCCAGCACTTATCTCCTTGGGAGTATGAAAAAGATGAATCTGTTTTCTTTTCCCATATTAGCATAAAAGTCTTGCTAGGTGTGACCTGTAATCCTCGGAGGCCAGCCTGAACTGCATAGTGAAACTGTCTCAAAAGGAAAAAAAGTCTTCCTTTCCCAATCAAGTCTACCTCTTAACTGGTGCTATGTGAAAAATGGTGGGATTCATTTAAAGCAAAACAGGTGGTGATCAGCAGACCTATCGTGTGGAATATAAACTCCAAATGTAATAAATGCTGTGATATTTGTTCAGATCTATGCAAAGTACTTTAAAGTGTTTCATCTTTAGTAGTTTGTTATTTTATGTTGAAGAAATGAATTTCATTAGGACTCTTTCACACCACACAGATGGATTCCAGATGCCTTAAAGGTTTAAGGACAAGACTATCTAAAGCAAATAAAACAGAGGATATTTTTCTTTTGTAGTGAAAGAATACAAAAGGATTCTTAAAAATTCCCAAATATGGGGCCAGGGAGATGGCTCAGTAGAATAAGCACTTCCCTGGCAAGGCAAGGGTCTAAGTTCAATCCCTGGTTCTGAAAAAAAAGAAAAAAAAATCCCAAATACAAATATAAGAAGTGAATTCAATTACACAAAGATTAAGATTTATGTTTAATGTACAAATTACAGTGAAAAAGATTATCTCTAACACCTAAAAGTGACATGGGACTAAAAAAAAAGTAGACAATCTTTTGGAAGATAATTTTTTTTAAAAAAGGTGGGACAAATTAGAAAAGCAAAGAAAGCATAGGTAAAGGAAATTCAAAGAGAAACTCAAATGACTCAAGATACAAGGATATGCCTAAATTCAAGTCACTTAAAAATACAATTTAAAATAAGAAACAAGAACTGTATATGTTTCCTATCCACACGCACTCTTGGCCAGTGCTGGAGCGAGTAACAGGAGGTAGTAGGGGCATGGGGACATAAAACTCTAGTTTAGATAGAGGTAGATAATCCAGAGAAAAACCTTGCAATTCTCAAATCAAGCATATTTATTCCCATGCCCCAGCAATTTCACTGCCGGCCAAGTATTCCAAAGAGATTCTCAAATTACTTGATAACATGTTCACGGCAGATTCAATTGTGGTAGTTGGGGCCGACGCCAGTCCAAGTTTTTATAAAAGGACATACAACTAAACGTTAGTACCTGTCAGAAGTATGAAAAGAATGTATGCACAAAGTAAGTGTTGTTTTTGTTTGTTTGGGAGACAGCCTCTCACTGCGTCTCCCAAGCTGGTCTTCACTGCTAGGCAGGCTTAGCGGCTGAGCATCTCTTGGGGGGGCGGGGCCTCCACTCCTCCCAGCTAAGTCATCTTACAAAAATGTTCCATTTAGCAAAAATGAGAACCATGGTTTATAACCGAGTAACACTTAACATTATCTGCTTTATTTTCGGAGCCTTACACGGAGGTCTACTCCCGCTAGTATTACTAATTCCTTCAAAGATTAGAAAATAGGATTTTCTAAGAATTTTGAAAAATAGAAAAGTATAGTACGTAGAGAGACTGGAGACAGAAGTGGCCTTATTGGCTTACCAGCGGGAGAGGTGATACTTCTTGTTGTCTTTTCAAGACAATGTTTTGCTATGCAGTTCAGGCTGGCCTTGAACAATTGAGTTCAAGGCCAGCCTGAACTACAGAGAGAAACTTTTTTCTCAAAAAAAAAAAAAAAAAAAAAAAAAAGGACTAACAAAACAAGAAACTACTACCCATCATCTTGGAACGCAACACTGAGCACTCTTTCCTACCAATCCAACTGGGACCCCAGCATCCAAACACGGCCACCGCAGCACCAAGAAAACAGAAAGCTGATGAGCTGCATTAGCCCACTGCGGTCTCCTCGGCTTACTTCCTCGTTTAATAAACGCATTATATTAAGCGAGTTTGAAGCAACTGTGAGCCCACTGCACAGGGCACAGGCATCTGGCGGGGGACGGCGCCGGGCGCGCCGGGGAGGCGGCTTCTGCGACCACTCTGGGGTCCCGGGGCGCCGGACGAGCCCAAGCGCCGAGAGCGGCGCGGCGGCCGAGCCGGCAGGAGGGGGC